GACACTGTGCTTCTGTTAATGCAGACTAGGATCATATTGGCTTTTTTTTTTTGGCCACATTGTTGACTAATTTTTAGGTTGTGGTCTTAAGACACCAGATCTTTTTCACATATAGTGTTATCAAGCCAATCCTATTTTTATGCATTTCATTTTTCCTACCTAAATGTACCTTATATTTATCTCTGTTGAAATGGATTTTGTTAAATGCTTCTGTCAAGGTTATTTTGAATTCTAATCCTGCCATCTCGGGTATTAGGTACCCCTCTGCAAATTTGATAAGCATGCCCTATATTACATTATGATTAGGGTCTTAATGTTTAGGTGGAATATCTTCTCTTTCAATTTGAAACCTCTGGTTTGTGCTTTGGTCTCTGAAGCAACAGAAAGCAAGTTTATTCCATCTTTAACATGCCTTCCCTTCACATATTTAAAGATATCACTTTTCGATCTGCTCTTCCCCAAGCTAAACACACTAGACTGCCTTCCTAAGCTGTTCCTCATGGGGCTTGATTTCCAGACCTTTTACCCTTCCAGCTTGTCCTTATCCTTCTTGAAGTGGACACAGCATTCCAGGTGAGCCAGAGCAGAATAGAGTAGGATGATAACATCCCTTATGCCACCTTTCAGTCTTCTCTGAAAGCCATTTCTCATCACACCTGACTCTCTTGCCTTATATAAGCCAGAAAACAGAAGCTGTGAGAGATTTCTTTTCCCAGTCAACCAGAGGCCGACTTGGCATGTTTTAGTTCAGTGGTTTTTGTTGCTAAGTTCAGCAACAGCTCCCCCCCTCACACACACACACACACCTTAGCCAGACTCTGCAGCTCACTCTTGACTGCTGGCTATGATCCCAGGCTGTCCAAGTCATAAATCAAAAATGGGAGGCAAAGCCACTGCACCAAAACAATGCATGCAGGGTGGTCTGCAACTTCCAACCCAAAGGAAAGCAGAACAGTGGCTCCTATAGAAACCTTTTAATAGACAAACTTCCCTTTGTAGAAGGGAGTTTCTGATGTCCACTTTTGTGGTAATTTATTTCCCTTAAAGAAAGGAGCAGAGAGGGGGAGCGCCAACAGAGTTGCCTTAATGCCACAACTCTATGGAAAGGAAGGGAGAAAATGTACATCAGAGGAGACTTGGATGCAGCATTGTTCTTAAAAAGAAAAAGAAGAGGAACACTGAGCCCCCTCCATTGATCTCTGTAGCTCTATGTCTAAATTGTACTGATAGTCTCAACCCAAGTGAACTAATGGAATCAACTGTTGAATTGTGAGTTTAAACACAAGTAAATCCCAGTGGGTCTATTCAGACCTAAAAATAGAATGCAGCCATTGCCAGTTGTTCCTGCACCAGTCTTCAACTGAAAGCATCCCTGGGGTTGGCTTTGACAAAAAGCCGTGCCCCCTTTTTGTGCATCCCATCGCTGAGCTCTACATCACAACCTCCACCACGCAGCTGGGAATTTACCTTAAACTGCTGGTCTTCAGTTCTCCAGACAACGAGATCAGGGAGGCCGCCTCTGCAATGGCGTAGATCTTTTGAAAGCCGTCGGAAAACTCCACTCAGGAAAGGACCCCCAAAGCAGCATGCCAGACTCTGTAAAAATCAGTCCATTTTCTTTCTCACAGATGGAATTTTCACTCATTCATCCTATGTCTCTTTTAGAGATGTGAAGGTCCAGGGCTAAAGAAATGGGAAAATCCTGGGGAAAACTCATGTTTTCCCTAAGGCCTCACCCCCCCCCCCAATTTTTTAAAAGATGCATTATGGGATTTTCCTTTTGAATGATAAACAAAATGTTCAAAACAGTATGTGTCTGGCCAGGTCAGATTACTTAGTTAAGTATATTTAACTAAATAGCTGATAAAAATACTGGCCTCTGATGGAGGAAAAGCACTTACTTGGGCCTGGTGGAGGGAAGAGAACCGCTCCCAGCTGATAAGTGCTGCTGCTTTACCTTCCTGGGCATTCCAGATATCACCAATCCATTCCTGCAGGGTATCAGCTGAAGCATTATGTAGCAATTCAAGTCTGGATTCAAGAGCTGCCTGGCGGTTCTCATAAAAGCTGTCCGTGTACAAATCCAAGGGGGAGGCCTGAGGAAATAATTGGGAGGGAAAAATTAACCATTTTTGGACTACCATCTCCCAGAATCTGCCAGCCAGTTATGGGGTTGTAGTCCAAAATATAACACACACATATTTCTGAGCTGCAGGGATAGCATATTTGCCAAAATTTCAATGGCATCTGTGCAAAGAGAAGGAAAAAAGTCTTGCATGATGCAACAAACAGATCTTCCAGCACCTTTTGAGATTGTGTAGCATAAACTTTTCTAGACTTGGTCTACTTCCTCAGATGCATGAGTGCAGTGTTGCCCAGGAAGGACCTTTATAAGCAGGCTGTATGATAGCCATAGAAATGCATTACTCCATGCATATGAAGAAGTAGACCAAGTCTATGAAAACTTATGCTACAACTACTTCTAAACAGTTACTCTCAAAGATGCTACAAGATCCCTTTGCAGGATTGTGTTAGCTCACTGGTAGAGGGTTAATCTTTGTCAGCATAGCTATAGTGGTGGTATAGGGAGTGAGGGGGAAGGCAACTGGACAGTTCCTGGGTACCATTCCCTATGAAACTGTGTCTAGGAACACTCAGTAAGGAGATACTATATAGCTCTTTGCACAATACCAGTAAAGTACGTAATGAGAGTATACCAGTGTCATTGCTGCTGATGACAAAAATGCACAAAGTGACTTCTGAAATGCTTCCTGCAGAAACACCTGCACATATATATGACACTGTTTTACGTCCAATATGAAGCAGTTTTTTGTTTTAAAGGTAGTGTACCTGGTAAGGATTCCTAAAGACATCTGGGATGCCATCCATGAAAAGAATATCCCACATCAGCAGGCCATAGAGAGTGCTAAATGTAGACCCTTCGCCATGAATTCCTGAATCACAAGCACAAAAAATCATAAATCCAAGGAACAGCAAGCTATGATGTCCACTGATTACTGACACAAAAGCATAAACAGCATGATTTCCCCAGCCTTGCAATGACCAAGTCTTAATACAAACTCAACACTGTAAAATAAAGACAGAAACTTTCACAAGCCCAAACTGTCTTTAACAGTATTATCTTGCTAACTTTGTTCTCTACTCACTAAACTCTAGCAAAAGACCTCTTGATGGATGAGTGGGTTCTTTGAAGGGAGTGGGATGAGGACTACACTAAAATGGCCTTACATAGTTACTGAAATTGTCCAACAGCAGATACAGGACAGGCAAAAATTGAGCAAGCGATCTCATCATAAGAGGGTCCAAATTCATTTTCAAAGTTTGGGTGGAGGACTACATTCTGTGTCAAGGAGAACCAATTGCAGGCCAAAGGCTGGAAAAAGTTTTGAGGGTTGCTTTCTAGTGTTTGGCGTGGCCAAATAAATAAATAAATAAATAAATAATACCAAGCTCTTTGCATCGGTATCTGAGGACTTTGGAGAATCATTTCAACTTTTTAGAATAAAAACATACAAACGTGTTACAAGGTTGAATCTCCCTTATCCAGAATACTGAAATCCAAAATGGTCCACATGGGTGGCCAATAATAATGCAGAATAATTCTCTTATCCAGAAATCCGAAACACTCCAAAATCTCTCCTTCCCTTAGCCCGTTTGGTGGGATGCAACCTTTCATTCTGCTAGCCCAATAAGAGGCTAGACCTTTGCGTTTCCATATTGGAGGGAGGATTCCTTTCCTCTTGTCAGCACCATTGGAAACTCGGGGGACTAGTGTCTTAGCACGCTAGGGAAGAACAGTCAGAAGACTAATAGGAAATGGCAGGGGCAGGGAAATTAATGCAGATTGAGTCATGTTTATTTGAAATTCTGAAATCTAAAATACTTCCAAATCCAAAATTGTCCACATGGGTGGGTGAAACAGTGAAACTTTGCTTTCTGATGGTTCAGTATACACAAACATTGTTCCATGCACACAATTATTTAAAATATTGTATGTAGGGCATATATGAAACAAATAAATTTCATGTTTAGGCTTAGGTTCCATCTCTAAGACATTTCATGATGTAAATGCAAATATTTCAAAATCTGAAAAAGTCCAAAATGTAAAACATTTCTGGTCCCAACCATTTTGGATAAGAGAAGACTTGACCTGTATCAGAAAAATGCACTGAGAAGACATCTACCATAAGGGAAACAACCTGTACAAAAGCTGGAAGACCACCAAACAATTATCTCATAGGAATGGAGGCATGACTTTCAAGGAAACCCAGAGGGGCTTGTAGCTACAGAAATGGATTCAAGTCACCTTGATCAAAGCCATTCCGCTTGTAGTGGGCCAATGCCAGCTCCTCGACAGAGCACACGAAAGTTGATGGCTCAAGGTCTTCTCCTTGGTCTCCCACACTGAGGTCTTCCATGATGAATACCGATTTCCCCATCCCTGTTTGCGGGCACAGCTTTCCTTTGATGGTGACCTGACCAAATGAGAAGATCTGGCTGCATAAGAAGGAAGGGACACATACACGTGCACGGACACAGCATCAATTGTGCCTCCTTTTTTGCACTAAAACCATGGCAGACCAGGATGCATAATACAGCTCCTGACAGAACTATGTGTTGATTGTTCTATGCAACCTCTATGGTGAATTGCAATGCTACATAACTCAATGTGCAACCCAACTTAACCAATTGTGCAGTGAAATTCACATCCCATGCTCTAAGGCACCACATGGGCAACTTTGCTTCTATGATGTTGAACTGACTGTGGCCATTGTGCATTGCTCGGAAATGTCCAACTACTTCCACAAGGAATCTGTCATTATTGTTGTGTGCCTTCAATTTGTTTCCAACTTACGGCAACCCTAAGACAACCCTATCAGATTCTTGGCAAGATTTGTTCAAAGGGGGGGGGGGTTGCCTTTGCCTTCCTCTGAGGCTGAGAGTGTGTGATTCACCCCATGTCACTCAATGGGTTTGCATGGCTGAGAAGGGATTCAAACCATGGTCTCCAGAGTTGAGGTCTAGTGCTCAAACCACTATACCACACTGGCTCTCAATCAGTTAATCAATATTACCCATAAACACATGAGAGCCAGCATGGCATAGTGCTTTGAGTGTTGGACCACAACTCTGGAGACTAGGGTTTGAATCCCTTCTCAGCCATGAAAACCCACTGAGTGGACATGGGAAGACCTTGGGCAAGTCACACTCTCTCAGCCTCAGGGGAGGGCAATGGCAAACCCTTCTCAACAAATCCTGCAAAGCAAATCTCATGATAGGTTTGCCTTAGGGTCACCCTAAGTCAAAAATGACTTGTAGACACACGACAAGAACAACCGCATAAGCTTATACATGCATACAACACCCACAAGGATATCAACAGTGGAATACAGTTTTGATTGTTGGAAGGTAGAACAGAAAAGCAGGAGGAAGAATCAGAAAGTAAGGGAAAACAATATTGCATGGAGAGAGACAGCATGGTGGCTTGAACCCTAAAAAGGAAGAACTCCACAACTGCAACATCATGTTGCAGAACCTCCCTTAGAACAGTCAATTATAATGCAAACAGAAAGGCACCGCTTCACACCATGAAATGGCAAGCTAAAAATAAAACCATCAAATGTTCAAAGTGCCATCTTCTTGTTAGCAATTTGACTCAGTTTGGGAAGTGACAAATCGAGCCGCAGCCTGAGTGGGGAAATTTGTTCTTGCACCACAGATCTCAAATGCATAGGAAGGAAAGAAGCAGAGAGCTTCCAAGCAAGGAGTAGAGGAGAAAGAGAACAGCATGGAAGGAGAAAATGCCTCCCAAGCATTTTAAATTAAATGTGGCATGAAAGCCAAAGCTGCTGACCAGATGGCAGCCTGGCCACAGAAAAAAAAAAGACATTGGGGGCCAAATCTGTTCCTGAAAATGGCAACTCAAGGACACTTTTGCAAAATATTTGAGCTTCAAAAAATGAATCCACAAGATGACATAGAAAAGGAACACAGTATGTTTCATTTAACTGATTGTTCTCATTCTCTCTCTAATCTTAGAGATGGGAACCAAGTCAAAACACAAAATTTGTTTTGTGTTACACATAGCTTGAAAATCATTTTATACACAATATTTTTGGGCATGAAACAAAAGTTTCATCAAAACAGCAAAAGCTGGCGTCACTCTCTCTGCCACCCATGCGGACAAATTTTGGAGTGTTTCAGCTATCGGACTCCTTCCACAACAACTTAAGCCAGAATAGTCTTCTTCCCAGTTAGTCTCAAAGATGCCCCTGAATTCCTTTATGCCCTTGTATCCTCAGCATAACAATACGGCTATATGTTTGAATACGACATGTCGGACCTAGCCAGACTTTTCTCCCAGGGAAGGGATGCCAACAGCCACTCACATGGGCAACGTCTTCCACATGGACAAGAGGCAAGTCTTGCAAGGCAGACCTGAATTTCTTACACACCGGAGACTCCCTGATCTTCTGAGCTCGCTGGGAGAGGGAAAGACGGTGGCCGGTGCGGACAAAGGGGTCCAGGAGACCTCTCCGGATACATTGAACAGCCTGGAAGAGAACCATGCCATGAAATCTACATATAGAGGGAATAACAGAGAACAAGGGTATGGCCATAAGAGGATGACAAATGGACACTTTGTACCCACACGTAAGAATTCAGTCTCCCCAATTATATTTCCCTTCAGTCTCCAAAAATCTAGCAATGCAGACAATGAGACAGTAGAAATCATTCACTTGTTCATACTTCCTCGGTCACTCTACCTCCCCCTTCTTTTTTTGGGATGCCTAAATGGTATTTTATTTATTGATTTTATATGCTGCCTTTCTTCTCAACTGGACCTAAGACGCCTCACAAAACACACTTTTTAAAAAGCAGTAAAAAAAAATTAGAATACTAGAAAAAATTGAATATTTCTAAATATTCTATTGCAGGTTTAAGTTACTGCAATACTAGAAATTGGAGGGTGGAAGGAAAATTTAATGAAGGAGGGAAAGAATTCTTATTTGAGAGGACAATGTCCCCTAGAGCCCATAGAAGGGATGGGGGGTGCATTTCAGGGCTATATATATGTGTGTATGTGTGTGTGTGTATTGCAGTGGGAGGTGTGATGGAGAAGTCTCCTAGGGGGGTTATGTGGCCCCCTAACCTCTCACAGTTGTCCATCCCATACCAAGACGGTCCTAGGAGTGTTGGTCCAAACAAAGTGGCTTTTCCAAAGCCCTGTCTTTGACAATGTTGCAGCAAGGACAGAAGGAATCAATGGCAGTTATTGTGATTTTGGGAAGTGGTTATATATATATAAAAAAGTAACCTTTCCAAAGCTCAGTATTTGACCTTGTTGTGGCAGCAAGGACAGAGACAGGCAAGGCTGGCTGGGAATACAGAAAAGGACATTTTTCAAAGCCTGATTGTGCAGCAAAGAGGATAGCGAGAGGCATGTTACCTTCTCTACGTCCTTCAAGTGCTGCTGCAAGTTGAGTGCCAGCCGATCCCACCATCGTCCACGGCTGTCCATACAATAAATCTCCTGAGCCAAGAGGTCTTGCAGTTGCTCCACAGCCTCCTGGATGCAAAATAAAGATACTGGTTAGAAGAGGAACAGACCTCTCCCAGCACTTGGTGTTGTGGTTTGAGCTCTCGGCTATGAGTCTAGAGACCAGGGTTTGAATCCTGGCTCAGCCATGTAAACCCACTGGATGACTTTGAGCAAGTCACATACTCTCAACCTCAGAGGAAGGCAATGGCAACCCCCCTCTGAAAAAACCTGCTAAGAAAATCATGATACATTCACCTTCGGGTCACCATAAGTTAGAAACGACTTGAAGGCACTCAACTACAACAGGACTACAACTCTGGGAGACCAGGGTTTGATTCCCTGCTTGGCCATGTAAACTTTGGGAAAACTGCACTCTCTCAGCCTCAAGAGGATGGCAATGGCAAACCTCCTCTGAACAAATCTTGCCAAGAATACCCCAGGATAGGGTTGCTTTAAGTCAGAAGCAAACTGAAGGCACACAAGAACAACATTGCTCTCTGGCAGAAAACTCTTAATAACTTTCCTTAAACTGCAAGTCCCAGTATTCCAAACGATGTTGCCTTGGCAGTTAAGGTGGAAGCATACTGCTCTAACTGTGTAGTGTGAAAGGGCCAACCAGTGTCTGGAATTTGCTTCTCTGCCTTCTTACCTCGTACATGTGAAGCCGCTGCAAGATTTCAACTCCGCGGGAAAGGATCCGTATATACACCCAACCGACTGTGAAACGCCTCAGGTATTCGGGCAGGGCAGCATGATGCCTTTGGGAGGAACGCACAACATACAAAAGTCACAATGGATGCAGATAAATGAGAGTTCAGAATAACAACAAAGGTGGTATGATGGAGGAACAATTCCCTATGAATGTATTTTTCTGGCAAAACCACCTCTGGGTATTCCTTGCCTAAGAAAACTCTATGAAATTCATGGGGTCACTATAAGTCAACAGGAGACTTGAAGACACATACACAGACACCAGATCCTGTCTGATCTTGGAAGCAAAGTAGGGTCAGCCTTGGTTAGTACTTGAAGAGGAGACCACCAATGACTACCAGGTGCTGTAGGCTATATTCCAGAGGAAGGAACTGGCAAACCACCCTCTGAGTCCTCCTTGACTAAGAAAATCCTATGAAGTTAATAGGGTTGCCATACGTCAACAGGGGGCTTGAAGGCACATACACAGATAGTGGAAAAGTGCTGCCAGTCCATGAGAGAGCAGATCCATTGCCCTCCAAAAGGTCCTGGGTTTAAGCCAGGGGGGCGGGGGGGTGACTATTGGGGAGTGGGATGAGGGCACTGTTCCCCCCCACCACCATAACAATTCTCCTCCTCACCCTCCACCCTATCTCAGGATACCAGACTATTCCCAAATACTGCCATTTTCCTCTGCAGTCCCTCTCAAAATGGCAACATCATTTTCTGGGACCATTTTGTTTGTTCTTGGCTGGGGAGGTTGGCTTGCAGGGGAACATGGACCCCAGGCCTCCATACAGTTGCTCATCCCTGCACTTGATCTTATCAAATATAAAGCTTGGAGCTCCAAGCTTCCAAAAAGAGCTGCTCAATGTTACAAACTCTTATTTTATTTTTTAGGAGAGGCTATTGATCCATTTGTCGTAAGAAAACCTGTTCCAGAAATTAGATCCCACTTTAGTCACGCCTCTTCGAACGTTGGTGCCCTCCAGATTACTTAGTCAACCATATCCATCACCCCTTCCCCCAGTAGTTGTGCTGACCAAGGATGATGGCAGCTAGTCCAAAACACCTAACATTTGCCAAGTTGAGAGCAGCTGGTCTAGTCACTTGCCTACCCCATTCATACCTTAGAGAAGGGTGATCTTTCAACTCCTCCCAGGCTTCTTTTGCAGCCTTGTAGAGCTTGTGGCCTTCTTTCCAGTTTCCATTAGCCTGAGTCATGGAGATGTCATTTGACAGGTGTGCAGCAGTGGCGTATCTAATTGAAATTAAAAATAAATACAACAGTAAGAAAGAAGATACGAGGAAAATCAATGCATTTGAGATAATGTGGTGCTGGAGAAGAATGCTGAGGATCCCACGGACAGCCATTTGGCCACATCATGAGAAGGCAGGACTCACTGGAAAAGACAACGATGCTAGGAAAGGTGGAGGAAGTAGAAAGAGAGGAAGACCACATGCCAGATGGATTGATTCCATCAAGACTCCCTCAACAATGGCTGCCTTGAGCCTGCAAGACCTGCGATGGGTGGTTGAGGACAGGGTGACTTGGAGATCTCTTTCATAAGGTTGCCAGAGGTTGAAATCAACTCAACAGCAGTTAACAACAACAACAAATTCTCATGCTGCACCAAACTACAAATCCCATGATTTTGTAGGATGCAGCCATGGCAGTTAGTTGAATGGCAGTGCCATGGCTGTATAGTATGAAACAGACTCAGGAAAAAGACAAATCAGAGACTAAGCCTTTCTTCTTACCTGATAAAATCATCACGATCTTGAAATATTGGTGTTTTTCTGTTGACGGTGTAAGTGGGGAAGGCCACTCGGCCCATGTTGACCATGAGGATGGTGGAGAGTTGTCCCTGGCCTCCACTCCCTGCTTCTTCATCCTCCACTGGATCAGACAAGGAGAAGAGGAGCAACACCCGAGAGAAGACCGCCCGAGGCCCTTTGCAAATCCGGACAGACTTCCCAGCCAGCTCTTTTGCCCTGCAGCAGACAAGACCCAACAAAACAAAACCAGAAATAGTCAATGTGAGATCCAAACTCTTGTCCCTTTGCACAGACATGGAAATATTAACTGCACAACCGACATACTTGTTGGAATCTGATCTCGCTGTACATCCAGTATGCCGATGTGGCTACACAAGCAACAAGATGGCAAAGGATGAATCTCTGCAAGACATAGTTGCATGTTCTTTCCTTCCCCAAGCATTCAACCTGACCTGTCCTCCAGCTGGGCAACCAGTTAGTGGCCAAAAAAGGACAAGCAACACTCCATTTCTGCAACTTCAGGAAGACAAAATTATCCCAACTTGATTGGGAGTTCCTGCATGGCAGGAGGTTGGACTGGATGGCCCTTGTGGTCTCTTCCAACTCTATGATTCTATGATTCCTGGACCTTTTAGCGATCGTTCCCCCCAACAAAAGTCCCAAAGGACACCTATTCCCTTCTGCAACCTGCTATTGTATGGATATAATGGAGTCAGTTTTTGGTCCCAATCTTCCCCTCCAACAGACCACACCAGACCCCCTAAATATACATTGTTGTTGTGTGCCTTCAAGTCATTTCCAACTTCTGGCAACCTTATGGCTGAGAGTATGTGACTTGTCCAAGGTCACCCAGTACTTTTCCATGGCTGAACAGGGATTTGAACCCTGGCCTCCGGGGTTGTAGTCCAATGCTCAAACCACTCCACCATGCTGGCTGCTAAATATATAGCCATACAACTATTAGGCAGACATGAGACCACCTCTCTAAGCATCTGGAGGTCCTTCTGAGCTACCACCAGAAATACAGGGTTCACCATTATCCACAGTTTTCACTATCCACATTAATTCTGGGAATATACCCTCCATGGATACGAGGATCATACTGTACTACTACTACTAATAATATGTGTTGCTCCAACAGTTATTGTTCACCATACACTGAACTGAGTTCCCATGATAAAGAGGAGAACAGAAATATTTTAATTAATAAATAAAATAGGATTATTATATTTCTTTATATCCTGCTTCCCCCCCACCACCACCACCTGAAGTCAGGATACAAAGTGGCTTGCAAATTAAAAACGTGCAAACATGGGCATTAAAATAGAATTAAAGTAAAAAAAAAATAAAGAGCCCCAAATTCTCCTGCCCTCTTAAATGGCTCCTCTTTGTCCAAGAATATCAACATGGTTCCATCTCCATCCCTCTTCATCCTTCCCTTTTAATCCCTAGCCTTGTTCCTCTGCCGCTTTTTTCCCCTCCGGTGCAGCTGAAGCGAGGAGATGCTCCTCCAGAATTATGCACGCCTCAACCGAGATAAACCCCTCTGCTTAAAATTAGCATGTAGTTCAAGTGCAAATTATAACAGGAGCAGAAATAGCATCTCCTGGGAGGCGTCTGCTGAGCTGAGGCAGAAACTGGGTTAGTTTGGTGGAGAGGAAGCAGAGCATTTCCTCAAGCAAAAAAGAGACTTCCATCAGTGAGCTTCAATAGCCAAACAGTTTAAACCTCTGTCAAACCCCTGCCCTCCAAAAAAAATAATCCACTCCAACTACACTGTTCCTCCTATTTCTGTCTTTCCGCAGGCTTAAAAAATCTGGGAACACATCACCATGAAATAAAACTGCTGCATGTTCTCTTTGCAGTGCATCTACACTGCAGAAATAATCCAGTTTGATACCACTTTAAATCCTGTGGCTCAAGCCTATGTAATCTTGGGATTTGTAGTTCAGCAGAGGCTTTACCATTCCCTGTCAAACTGTGTTGATGCCTCACAAAACTACAAATTTCAAGATTCTGTAGGATGAAGCCATAGCAGTTAAAGGGGTGTCAAATCGCATTATTTCTACAAATGCAGATATGCTCTCAGTTTGATACCAAATTTCACTTCCCAAAATCTGAATCATATCTTTCCCCCCCCCAACTTTAAAAACAATAACCAAGTTACTAGTCCTCATGGTTTCACGGAGACACATGTGAAATCTCTAGAATAAGGATTTCTGTTTCAGCATTTAGGGCATATTGTGGTCTGACTCAATTATTAATTATGATACTTGTACATGCCATCGTCTTCAGTAAAAACAAAACAAAAAAAAACAATTATCATTTACAACAAATTAAGGACAAATATTTTTAAATGCTCCTGCTTTGTTGCAAAGTGGTTGCAGTAGAGAAATGTATAAAGCAAGGACTTTGTCTGTTCCTGGCCATAATGACACAGTTATTATTTATTGTTATAAACAATACAGATTATTATTAATCCTTAATGACTCCATCTACAGCTAGGATAAATGAAAATGCAGCAATCTTTGCAGAAGCAGTTACTCCCGAGCAAAGCAACGGTTCAAAGGTAATTTAATCTGCATCATTTATTCTGCATCACGGTCTGCATCCTTGTTTGTTCAGATTGCAGAATCCAGCTTTTCTTGCTGCAGAATACAGCAGTACCCGCTATCAGAGTTCAGACTTTTACATTTTAGTAAAGGGCCGCTGTAAAAATAGGCTACCGTTTCAGAATCACCCTTCCAACGCTGGCTTGGTCTGGGCTGAAGACAGAGTGCTGTTTTGCCAGCCGGAGGAAATCTTCAAGGAGCTGCTGCTTCTGAGCATTTGGGTTTCTCAAGTGGAACGCCTTTGCTAAGGTTTTCAATTCAGGGGCTGACAGCAAGTCGAGAACCTCAGGCAGATCCTGTAATTCTGTCTCTGCAGACGGGAGATGGAAGAAGAAAGGGAAAAATATATGTATCAGTGAACGGCAATGCAAAAAAAACAAAAATTCAGCTATATTCCCATCCCATTTTGCTACCTAAGGTAACCAAGGAAATCCATACCTTCATTTGGCACATGCACATATCGAAAGTGCAAATCAGAAGGTCATGTTTGACACCGGAGGATTTGGGACCTCTCCTGTTACAGCTTGATACTCACATATCCAAAGTGCTTGGGACTAGAAGTGTTTTGGATTTGGAATACTGTGGTTTCTCATTGGCATCTCAACAAACCCACTGTGGTTTGGGTTATTTCTCTGCCCTGGGAATAGGAACTTTGAGAAAGTATTTGGATTCTCAGGAAAGAGGGAAGCCATCCAAGCCACAGTTTGTTTCTATGTGTGGAACACATTATGGTTTGTAATCTAAATCAGAGCTGGCAGAACCATAGTTTAATGTCTCATTTGAAGCAAACTGTTGGCAAAAATATTTGTATTAATTTACTGCATTCTCTTGTGTTTGATTTTGCAAACTTAATGACCAGCACGCCATTCATTTCTGTTGGGAAAATATTACAACACTCATTCATATTATTACAATTCCACCTGAAATATAGGTGCTGATGTTACTTTTGAATCTAAAAACGAGGAGGCATTAAGAAGAATTCTTGGTTCAGTAATTGGTCTTCACTCGGGATGTTTTATTGCTGAAGAAGATGTTGCACAAAGCATCAGACATGCAGTTTCTATACCTCCATTGTGCTAGTTTATGCTATTGCAGTTTGTCCGGATTTTAGCAAAAAATAGAAAAGGAGTTGGAAACAACATGAAGGAACACAACAAGAACATCTTTCTCACTTTTATTTTTTAAACCTAGGCTTGGGATGATGTTGTCCGTAAAGAAAAACCCAAAGAAGATCCTTTTGAATATAAGAAGCGTTTGCCTCTGGATCACGAGAAGAGCAAACTGAGCCTTGCTGAAATTTATGAGCAAGAATATTTGAAACTTAACCAGGTAAGCTTTCAAAGATCTTTTCTTGCCATGGCTTCAGTATTAAGGAGCCCTTCTGTTGAAAGGTTTATTTTCAAGTTTTTTGAAGGCATGATTCTGCCCTAAAGTAAAAATAATAATAATTAAAACATAAAACGATGAGAAAATCGTTTTGAAGCACCTAAAAGCCCCTCCATTCTTCTTTGATTTGCGTTTGTAAAAAGTGGCAAGTAGCCATGTTCTGGGTTGTTGTTGTTTTCCCTGCCAGAATTAATATTTTCCAAAAGCCCATTACAGGAACAGTGTTTGGAATTGCTCTCCTTAAACCCACCTATCAGAGCACCTATCACTACTGGAACCACAGATGTTTTCTCTTCCCAGAGGCACTGTTATTATTATTTCATTATTATTGAGTCCATCTTGTCCAACACTGTCTATCTTGATGCTTCAAAGATATAGCTATGTCTGTAAAATTAGTAGAGAAATCTTGTAGCACCTTTGAGAATTAACTGAAGGAAAGAAGTTGGCAGCATGACCTTTCCTAACTTAAGTCTACAAATGTATCTGAGGAAGTAGACTTTATTCTACGAAAGCTCACGCTGCCAACTGCTTTCTTTCAGTTATGCTCAAAGGTGCTGCAAGATCTCTACATACTGATCTTGATGCCTTAACAGACTTACCCGATTGAAGGAATCCAGCTTCAACCAACTCTCCAATGACAGGCGAGAGATCCTGGCTGATCTCAGTGTATTCTATTTTATTGGTTTTGATCCAGCTCAACTTACGTTGGAAAAGCCTGACATATAGCTTCTGCCCTCCAGCTGCAGCCAAATTGAAAAAAGAAGAGGGGGAAGATAAATTATTCCTAAAAATGCTTTCAAAAATGAGTTGACTAGCACCTATGCACTTGCAAAAACGAATGGGTGATATGCAATATCTTCTCTCTTAACACATTTTATTTGCATTTAGAGGAGGGCGAGGAAATACATTCTTTAAAATGTTTTCAAAATGAGTTGACTAGCACCCACGCACTTTCAAAAATGAACAAGAGATATGCAAAATCTCTCTTAATATGTTTTAGTTGCATTTAGAGGTGAGGGGAGATATATTATTCTTAAAAATGCTTTCAAAATGAGTTGAAGAACACCCATGCACTTGCAAAAATAAATGGGAGATATGCAAAATCTTCTCTCTTAATATGTTTTAGTTGCATTTGACCAAAGCCCAAGTTAAAACCCAACATTTCTGACCTGCGATTAAATAGAAGCCATTTTCTCCCCTTGAGAAATTAGGATTAAAGTGCACGGAAAGAAAAATGGCATAGCTCCACACTGTTCAGGCTTTTTAGGCTTCTCAGACCAATACAAAAATCCATTCTAGCAGCTGCAGAGCTCTATTTTACCACTAATATCTTTAAATTAAGGGGGGGGGGGGTGAAAGAAGATTTGCTGCTAGGAGGACTCTCTAAAGATTGGAGAAGGCTGAGTTTGATCAGGGAAAAATATTCCCAGCCTGAATTTATTACCCAGCATTTGGCCCAGTAATTCTAACTAAATTAAGAAGCGCATTGCTGCAAGTGATAGAGAAGTACTATGAGGCTCAACCTCTCAAATAACGTGGCAAGCAGTAACACAATTTATTGCAACAACTCAATGCAATGGAATTGTGGAATTTGTCATTTTGTGAGCTATTTTGCCTTCTCTGTCAGAGAACTCTGGTGCCACAACAAACTACAAATCCCAGGATTCCATAGGATGGAGCCATAGAAAATAAAGTGGTGTCAAACTGGATTATTTCTGCAGTATGGATGCAACCTAAATCAACATTTTGTAACCTATGAACGGTGGCTGGAGATGATGGGAGTTGTAGTCCCAACACACCTGGAAGGTAACAGGTTGCAGAAGGCTTCTGCAAATGTCTTTGGTCTTTATTTATTCTGATATGAAGCAACCTTTGTCACTGTATAATCCATTACAACAACACAATCTAATATGAGCAGCAGCTACAGCCACAAATAC